CACCCTTAGCTGGGTGCCACTGCAGGCCCTGCATGGAGGTCGCTCCTGTGTTGGTGCTCAGAGTGGCTGGCTAGATCCTGCACTCACTTGCTCATGTGCTCCCTCCTGCAAGGGTTTGAGCGTGGTGGGCTGAGTAGAGGGTGTGCCACTGCCGAGAGTCCAGTAAGGGCTGAGAAAAATCCTGCATCTGTTATAACACAGTTGAGACTAAATACGCCCATGCCCCGGCACCCAGCTTTGCCTTTGCTGTTTCATCTGCCTGGAGTGTTCATTCTCGATATCCACATGGCTCATTTCCTCACCATCTTTGAGTACTTGCTTAAATATCACAGTCTGAAGTAGTGTTGCCAGATTTCCCTTTTAAAAACTTTCAAACTCTTCTTTTCCCACAATGCTTTTTTTTTTTCTTTTTTGAGACAGGGTCTTGCTCTGTTGCCCATGCTGGAGTGCAGTGGCATGTTCATGGCTCACTGCAGCCTTGAACTCTTGGGCTTAAACAATCCTCCCACCTCAGCCTCCTGAGTAGCTACAACTATAGGCATGCACCACCATGCCAGGATAATTTTTTTTTTTTTTAATTTGTGTAGAGATGAGGTCTTGCCATGCTGCCTAGGCTGATCTTGGCCTCAAATAATCCTCTTGCCTGGGCCTCCCAAAGTGTTGGGATTACAGGTGTGAGCTACCGTGTCTGACCCTTCTCTTGTAATTCTTATTATCTTTGTTTTCTGTTGTTTATAATAGAATGCATGAAACTGGGTACTCCTATAAAGAAAAAGTGTTTGTTTCTCACCGTTCTAGAGGCTGAGAAGCCCAAGGTTGAGGAGCCGCTTTGGTGAGGGCTGTCTTCCCGGTGGGGACTTTCCTTAGAGTGGTGTAGGGTATCACATGGCAAGGGGGTGAGTGTGCATGTGCCAGCTCAGGTCTCTTACCAGTTCCTCTCCCAAGATAACCCACTAATCCAATAGCTCGTTAATTCATTAATCACGTTGGAGATTAAGTTTCAACATGGGTTTTGGAAGAGACATTCAAACCACAGCATTATTCTTCTTTGCTTTGTTTTTCTTCATGGAACTGACCACCATATTGCACTATGTTTTGTTTTTTGCTTGTTTACTGTCTACCTGCCCCAACTAGAATGCGTATTTTATAAGGTCAGAGACTGTTTAGTATACTACCTATTCCAAGACAATAAAAAAGCAAAATTTTTTGAATAAATTAAGTGAATTAATGAATTATGGCACAAACTCGTAACTGTCACATCTTATGGTCTCTGACAGGATTGGTGATAATTCTTACTCAAAGCAATTTCAATGAACCATCTAATTTCAACTCTAATAGCTGGAGCCAAATGATTTTTTTTTGCAGCAAGAGCCAAAATCTTGACTTAAAATTATTGGGTAATTATGAATGTATACTTTCAAAAGCTCACTGATGATTTGGAGAAAGTCAGTGGGCTATAATGAGATCAAACTTGAAAGAATCTTATCGTTGGTGGAAAGTTCTGGAAACAAGAAAAGGAGAAGGCTGGCTTATTAGAATTTGCTGAAGAGATTAATTTCTTTGTGATTTCCCGGAGAATACCAAGAATGGGAGGAGTAGGGAAGGTGGATTGTAAAGTCCCTGTATTTCTAAAAAATTGAATTCTCTTCTTGGAGGGGAAGGAGTCATAGAAGCCAGTATTATCAGTGTCCTGCTATTTAGAACACTCCTATTGCCCCAAGCCTTGACACGTCACTGGAGACCTGAGCTAACCTGTTGGACACTGTAGGGAAAACAGGGCTGCACAATAAAGCAATTAGTTACAAGAAGCTTAGTATGTTTCTTTGGAAAAGACATTTGAGATCTGGCTAGGATATTCAAGTGACCCGCTTCAGAGGATCAGCTCCTGGGTACTGCTGAACTATTTTATTCTCCTACTGACTCTGGTAATGACTACGTGGTAATACTAATGTAGCCTCACCTGTTCTACCTGTTGGCACACTGCCTGGAAGGAGACTGGGAAGAGGCGGGGATGTTCATGATTTTGGTGCTCCTAGTAAGTTGGCCTGAGTTTTGCTCTACTCCCATCCAATGTTCCCTAGGGTCACCTCCTCAAAATGTGCTTGTAGCAGTTGCTGTTGGCATCCTGCCAAGATCTTCTTTACCAGCTACTAAGCATGTATTGACTGCTAACCGCACATACCTGTATCCATATTAGGATTGTTCTTGGCTGATAGGAGCTACCTAGCCAAAAAGTGTCTCAGAGGTTTCATTTTGCTGCTTCTCTGGGAATCAGTCAATTCTCCAAGGAGCCCTGATTCCTTTGTAGTGAAGAATGGTCTTTAGAAACTAAGGTCTATGTACTAGGCATGCTCATTTCTATTGGGGAGTGACTGCCTCTGGGCTCTCACACACATTTCTGACTCTGTCTTTTACATATATTTTTAAAATTTATTTTTCTTTTGTTTTTGTAATGGAGTCTCACTCTGGTGCCCAGGCTAGAGTGCAGTGGCATGATCTCTGCTCACGGCAACCTCCACCTCCTGAGTTCAAGTGATTCTTGTGCCTCAGTCTCCCGAGTAGCTGGGATGACAGGTGTGCACCCCACACCTGGCTAATTTTTTTTTTTTTTTTTTGAGACGGAGTTTCGCTCTTGTTACCCAGGCTGGAGTGCAATGGCGCGATCTCGGCTCACCGCAACCTCCGCCTCCTGGGTTCAGGCAATTCTCCTGCCTCAGCCTCCTGAGTAGCTGGGATTACAGGCACGTGCCACCATGCCCAGCTAATTTTTTGTATTTTTAGTAGAGACGGGGTTTCACCCTGTTGACCAGGATGGTCTCGATCTCTCGACCTCGTGATCCACCTGCCTCGGCCTCCCAAAGTGCTGGGATTACAGGCTTGAGCCACCGCGCCCGGCCTAATTTTTGTATTTTTAGTAGAGATGGTGTTTCACCGTGTTGGCCAGGCTGGTCTTGAACTCCTGGCCTCAAGGCCCACCTTGGCCTCCCCAAAGTGCTAGGATTACAGGCATGAGCCACCACACCCGGCCTGTTTCTTTTCCTAGAAAAAGCAAAAACAAAAACACTCAACCAAGCGGTAGTTATACATATATTTTAAAATATCCATGAAGTTTTACTGCTACCTTCAACTCTGATCCAGCATCACTGGGTCCATTCTTGCCTTCACCCTTTCCTTATTGGTAACTTCCTTCTCAGACACAGAAGTGGTACTCATTATCTACCACATGTTTGCTTATTTGTTTAGCTTGCACGTATGTAAAGTAGCTTCAGAAATTGCTAACCCAACCCCTCTGAGGAGCAAATTTACCAACTAGAGTACAGTGTTTGTGGACAGACCTTTCTGTCTGTATCCTTCAGTTTTCACCCAAAATAGTCATCTGTCATAGTCTGCATTCCATTTTAAGTACCCCTCACAGCCTGGTAAATAGCTTGTAATTTACACACAGTAAAATTTGCTCACTAATACGTACTGCTGTAGGCATTTATTTATTAATTTAGAGATGGAGTCTCACTGTCATCCAGGCTGGAGTGCAGTGGCACGATCTCGGCTCACTGCAACCTCCGCCTCCCAGGTTCAAGTCATTCTCCTGCTTTAGCCTCCTGAGTAGCTGGGATTACAGGTGTGCACCACCATATCCGGCTAATTTTTGTATTTTTAGTAGAGATAGGGTTTCAACATGTTGGTCAGGCTGCTCTGAAACTCCTGACCTCATGGTCCACCCACCTCAGCCTCCCAACGTGCTGGGATTACAGGCACGAGCCACCATGCCCGGTCACTTGTGTAAGTTTTTAACAAATGCAACAAGTTGTTTAGCATCACCACAGATATAGAATAGTCTCATCACACCTAAAGTTTCCTCACACTGTCCTTATACTCAACTCCTATCCCCACACCCAATCCCTGGCAACCACTGATCTATTTTCCATCTCTACAGTTGGAATCTTTTTTAATAATCTCACATCAAATATATTGTACAGTATATAGGCTTTTATGTCTGGTTTCTTTCACTGAGCATAATGATTTTGAGATTCATCCATGTAGTTTTGTTACTTTTTTTTAATTATGGAGTATTAATTCATTGCATAGATATTATATAATTATACAATTTATTTAAACATTTACACATTGGTGGATATTTGGACTGTTTCCCATTTTTACTATCGTGAGCAAAGTTGTTATGCACATTTACATATAGACCTTTTTGTGGACACATATTGTCATTTTTCTTGAGTAAATACTTAGGAGTGAGGCTGCTGGATCATATGGTACATAAATGTTTCACTTTGTAAGAAACTTGCAGAAAAGCAAACAATGCACGCTCTCATTCCTAAGTGGGATTTGAACAATGAGAACACCTGGAAACAGGGAGTTGAACAGCACACACCGGGGCCTTTTACAGGGTTAGGGGAAGGGGAGGGAGAGCATTAGGACAAATAACTAATGCATGCGGGGCTTAAAACCTAGATGATGGTTCGATAGGTGCAGTAAACCACCATGGCACATGTATACCGGTGTAACAAACCTGCGCGTTCTGCAGATGTATCCTGGAACTTAAAATTTTTTAAAAAAAGGACATTCTGACACATGCTACAATATGGATTAGGTATCTAAAGTAGTCAAATTTCATTGGCAAAAAATGTAGAATCGTAGTTGCCAGGAGCTGAGGAGTTACTGCTTAATGGGAACTGAGTTTCAATTTTCAAAAACAAAAAAGTAGTGGCAATGGATGGTGATGATGGTTGTAAAACAATGTAAATGTACTTAATACCAATAAACTGAATAAAATGGAAAAAAAAGGATCCTGATTCATAGAAATCAGTAAACAAAACATGAACACTTAGTTTATCTATATAAAAATAATACTAATTATGGTTGCTTACACAAATAGCTTATATTTCCAAACCATGTGGTATAGAAACTATTTTGCACATAACTATGTCAGATTAACTTTGTTATAAATTGGATTTGGTTATCAAATTAAACTAGAATCAGGCTCCACTTTGTCAGCTGTTGTGCACGTGGCACAATTTGCCTACGAACAATTTTAAAAGGAAACATTAGAGAGAACATTTCTTAGGAGCTAGAAAGGTGTCTTTTGTTTTATCTGTACTTTTCCCACTTACAAGCTTAGCAAGTCCTTTAAACTCTGGCCTTCAGGAACTTCACTCTTAAAGGGAATACAATACTTTCTTTACAGGCTTCTGCAAGGGTTTAGGACAATGCAAACAAAGTGCTCAAGCTGTACTAGATCCGAAATAAATGGTGCTATTTATGGTGAGTCGGTGTTACGCAACTAGTGGCTATGGCACCCAGGGCTTCCAATGCCGTATCATCAAACTGGCATGAGATTCCCGAGTTCAGCGGACAATTGCTTACTTTGTTGGAGGAGAAGCAGATGTGAAAGGCTGATACATGTTGACATCCCCAAGGTGCTGGGGCACTAGACGTGAGGTTACGGCATGTCCTTCCTTTGCTAGTTCAACAAAGCATGACTTAGGAATGTCACTTTTTTGGCTTTTCAGGAAGCCAGTGTAGTATCTAAAGTGGCTTAATGATCCAGAACCAACACACACAAGAACCAGTTCAATAATAACATCTTTTCCTTCCTTGCTGTAGACTTCCCTGTTTTTCTTTCTTTGCTCAGTGGATATCAACACAGACTAATTACTCTTCTGACACTTTTTTTTTTCCCCCCCTTCCAAGAACATATTTCCTTGTCTGGCTAAGGGCAATCACCTTCCCTGACTCTTTCGGGACTAACGGGTGCATTTCTTAGTCACATCCGTCGACTTTCAGGCCAAAGTTTTCACGCATTCAGTGGAAGGCAGCGTGGCATGGTGGAAAAGACAGGAGGCGAAGACTCAGGTCACCCGGTCCCCGTCATCATTTCTGCATCTGTCTGTTTGAAGTGGGCGGATGGCTGTACCAGTTTCCTCGGCTGTACAGCGCAAGAGGTCCCGCTTTGGGTGAGCTTTTTTCGCATACACGGTCAGCGGTGATGGGCAGGACCCCGGAGACCTCTAGAGCGTTCGGCTGGGATTGCGCGTGCGCCGGGTGGCCGACGGCGACGATGGCGCCGCGTCGCGAACGGCGGGTTGCGCGCGCAGCACCTCCGCTGCCTCCGGATCCAGCGCCTTGGTTACCAAGGCAACAGAGCGGCGCGCTTTCCGGCGCAGTCGCGGCGCGTCGCAGCTGTCATGGCGGAGGCCGTCTGGAGCACTGACACCGGGGAGGCTGTGTATCGCTCCCGGGACCCCGTGCGCAACTTGCGCCTCCGGTAGTCACGGCCCCAGCCCCGAGACCCCATGCTTTTATGCCTTTAGATCATTCCAGCCTGAATTCGGTGTTCTGACCCCCCGCTTCTCTGGGCTCCCCACTTCTCTCACTGTCCGTACCCCTATCCACTCACAGCCTCCAAGAACCCCTTGCAGACCCACCCAAGTCCATTGCCGCTCCTAGTTTCTTAGAGCTCTGTGTCCCCAGTACACCCTCTCGCCCTCACCCTTCCCCATAGGACCGCGCACCCCACCCACCTCCTCTCCGTTGTCTGCACCCAGCACACCTTGGCAACCCCACCTCCTCTCGTTTCCCTCATCCTTGCTTTCCCTCATCTCGCGGTTGCGTGTCTGGTAACGAATATTTTGGGTTTCTCTTTTCTTGACAGAGTCCGCTTGCAAAGAATCACATCAAGCCACTTTCTTCATTATCAGCCTGCTGCCCAGCTGGGGAAGGACCTCATAGGCTTGGCGACTTTCAGGCCTCAGCCAACTGCCAGTGGGTGTTAACGGTGGTGATGTGCCACCTAATACTAATTCCGATACTAATCAGAATTGTGGCCAAACATAGTGAGATAAATACTGTACTTAAATGATATGTTATAGATTTGCCTGGCAACTTCCATACGATTTGTGGCATTTTTAAAAGAGAAAACGTGCCCCAAACTCTAAATACACATATAAACACTTCTAAAAACAACTTCTAAATTAGAGATTGCTTGAAAAATAAGCATATGATGTGCATATGAACATCAACTGTGTTCTTGTGGTTTTGCTTATCTGAAAAACCAAAAGAATGAGGAGGAGAGTACAGAGTGCTCATATTAGATCACGAGTCTCTCTGCTTCTATTGTTTCTCTTTCTGTTCAGACCTATTCATGGGCAAGAGTGTGGGCTTATGGGTTATGAAACATGTGTCTCTGAAAAAGGCATACTCAGCCAGCCAAGAGTATATTAGATTAGATCTGGGGTTTTTTTGTTTTGTTTTGTTTTTGTTTTGTTTTGAAACAGAATCTCATTCTGTCGCTCAGGCTGGAGTGCAGTGGTATGATCATAGCTCACTATAACCTTGGTCTCCGAGGCTCAGGCCATCCTCCTGCCTCAGCCTCCCAAGTAGCTGGGACTACAGGCTCATACCATCACACTCAGCTGATTTTTTAAAAGTTTTAGTAGAGAAGAGGTCTTACTGTGTTGTCCATGCTGGTCTCAAACTCCTCGGTTCAAGTGATCCTCCCACCTTGGCTTCCCAAAATGTTGGGATTACAGGCATGAGTAACTGTGCCCAGCCAGATTTGGTTCTGTTAAAAAAAAAATCATTTCTTTGCCTTCACTGTCCTCTCCTGACACTTGGCCTCCTAAAAATTTCAGTGTTTGTGATTCTACGTGTATGGCTTTAGAAACAGCAAAGGCAAAAATGCCAGGGTTATTTTCTAGCAAACACAAACATCTGGGACTGAGGAAGGGCTGGCTATTCAGATTATATCTAAGTTTCAGTTTCTTTTTTTTTTTTTTTTTTTTTTTGAGACGGAGTTTCGCTCTCGTTACCCAGGCTGGAGTGCAATGGCGCGATCTCGGCTCAAGTTTCAGTTTCTTATATCCAGTTAGATTAAACATTTCCCAGAGGAGGCTGGGTGCAGTGGCTCACGCCTGTAATCCTAGCACTTTGGGAGGCCAAGGCGGGTGGATCACTGAGGTGGGTCAGGAGTTCGAGATCAGTCTGGCCAACATGACAAAATTCCATCTCTACTGAAAATAGAAAAATTAGCCAGGTTGATGGAGTGTGCCTGTAATCCCAGCTACTTGGGAGGCTGAGGAAGGAGAATAGCTTGAACCCGGGAGGCGGAGGTTGCAGTGAACCGAAACAGTGCCACTGCACTCCAGCCTGGGTGACAGAGTGAGACTCCATCCCACCCAAAAAAAAAAAATTCCTAGAGGGTATTTCCTTTTATTCAAATTAAAGTAGTGATTAAGATTTCTTGGGTCCTAATCTTGGCTTCTGCTCATACCAACTCTCATATATAGCCTCTCTAGCATTTCTCTAGTTTAAGTGTTTAATAAATTGCTGAACTCCAGCTGGTTTTTGTGGCAAATACAAGAATAGGGACTTTGGTTATAATCAGCCACAGAGCAAGAAGTGGTGCTCGTCTGGCTCAAGCATTTGACCCACTCTGTTGTCTTTGGAGGTGGACACCGCCCAGAGGAAGACGAAGAGGAGGAGATTGTGATTGGGTGGCAGGAGAAGCTCTTTAGCCAGGTGAGCCAGTGTCTCGTGTCTGCTCTGTCTATTCCACCTGGTCTACCTTCACGTGGCTGGTCATACATATTCCCAACTGATTTCTAGACAGATTGTAACAGTTTATACTTTCCCTTGTTGTGTTTAAGGGACAGTATGACATAGGGACTGCCACTACTCATTTTATGATTCTGGGTGAGGCACTTTTCACCTCTCGGCTATATGGCCTCTGTGATAGTGACTTGGTTTAGACCATTAGTCTGGTTCCTTTTAGCTCTAATATTCTTGGCTCCCCTGCCATCCATTAGTTTAGAGATGGTTATGAAAATATGTCAGATAGCATCAACTCTGTAGAACTGATTTGATTAAACAGTTATAGGAGAAAAAGTTTCACATATTACAGTGATGATACATCTCTGTTTCCTTTTGGTGACCTCAGTTTGAAGTAGATCTGTACCAAAATGAAGCGGCCTGTCAGAGTCCTTTGGATTATCAGTACCGTCAGGAGATCCTGAAGCTGGAGAATTCGGGTGGCAAGAAGAACCGACGAATCTTTACCTACACTGACTCTGATAGATATACCAATTTGGAGGAGGTATTGTTCTTTCCAGGGTCTCATAGCTTTCATCTTTGTTTCCTCTCTTTTTTTTTTTTTTTTTTTGTTTGTTTGTTTGCCTCACTGGGTTTCTGTGTGTTACATCAGAAGCCTAGTAAGGGGAGACAGTAGCCTACCTAGAAACTGCTGTGAGTTGCTGCTGCTGGAAGCCAGGCTGGAATAGCATGGGCACAGTCTGTAGGTGGTGGGGCTGCTGCTCACTTCTCTGCCTGCCGAAGGGCCTAGGGGGGCTGCCATTATCTCTGATTGTATGCTTGTAGAGTGCATGCTAGGAGAAGTGACCACTGGGCTTGACTTCCTCCATCCATCATGAAATAAGACAGGTGCTAGAGTCTAGAACAATCCAGATAAAATTTATCAGGGGATTCAGCCCAAACTCTGAGTATATGGGCTTGAAGAGGAATTCAGTATAGCTATGGAAAATGGCTTATGTCCTCAATTTGCCTATGACAAAAATACCCTTGTGACCTTGTTTTACATTTTCTTTAGTCACTGCATTTCAGCTGCTTCTGTCTTCTCAGTAAGATTTTAAACTTCTCGAGGGTAGAGCCTATATTTTCTGATTTTTGTCTATAACTCTATAGGTCTCTGCAAGGAGCAGGTATTCAACAGATGTTCTGGAAAGATTGACATGCTTTTATTAGTAGAGCTGTGGATTGATAACATAAAAGATTTGGGTTGAAAATTAGCCAGGCAAGGTGGCATGCACCTGTAGTCCCAGCTACTTGGGAGACTGAGGCAGGAGGATCACTTGAGCCCAGGAGTTCAAGGTTGCAATACACTATGATAGTATCACTGTACTGCAGCCTGGGTGAGACCCTGTCTTCAAAAAAATAATATAAGTTAAATAAAATTTGGGTTGTCTGTTTTGGAAAAGCAAATAAAAATGCAGTTGGTGCTCAGTTACCATGTGAGGATCTCCCGCAAAATACTTGTATCCCATTTGGCATTTTCTAACTACCTTGTTAACTTCAACATCTACCAAGCAAACCAACCCAACTTTTTGTTGGTTTGTGCTCAGAGACTGCAGTCTAACTTTAATATTCACATAAATCACTCATTGTTAAAATCCAAAGGCAAACCAAGACGTGGTAGAAGTCACCTTTGGGTTGTTTGGTCGCCACCCCCTCCATTAGCCTGTATAATTGTGAGGCAGTGGAACCGGCGGGGTTCAGGTCCTGATGAGGTTTCAGAAGGAAGACTTCCCTTCAGGTACTTGGCCCCCTGTGGCCCTGACCAGATGGCTTACACAGGGCTGCTTGCTTTTCTCAGCACTGTCAGAGAATGACCACCGCAGCCAGCGAGCTGCCTTCATTCTTGGTGGAGCGAATGGCAAACGTCAGGCGGCGCCGGCAGGACAGGCGAGGGATGTGAGTGCGGGCATGGGGTGGGGGCAAGCTTGGACTTTTTATTTCCCGGAGTTAGGTAGTTTTGAATTTTTATCAGTGGTTATATGTAGTATTCAAGTATTACTTTGTAAATAATTTAAAAAATAAATATAAAATGTCTTCCTGACTCTTCATGTGGACATTTTCCCAAAGTGCTTCAGAGAGAGGGAAGTGCTGTCATTTCTGTTTATCAAGTATTTTGCTCTCCACTGGGGTATGCTGCATCGGGGTGTGCCAGGGAAGTGACCTTTCTGTGGTGTCTCCCAGGGAGGGCAGCATCCTCAAGTCACGCATCATCACCTGGGAGCCCTCAGAGGAGTTCGTCAGGAACAACCATGTCATTAACACCCCTCTTCAGACGATGCACATCATGGCAGACCTGGGGCCCTGTAAAAAGTGAGTGGAGCTGCTCACTGCCAGCCCAGATGCTCATCCTCTTCTCCTCTCACCAGCTGTCCTCTTCCTGTTCTTATCATCCTGGGTTATAGGGAGGGAGGGACTTTTTCTTCCTTTTTGTCTTAGTTGTACTTAGAAGAAAGTTTTACCATGCCGGTTCTCCCTGTAGCCTCTGTTTTCTCCCCTGAAGTAGGCTCAGTAGCTCCTCTTTCCCTGGAAGACCAGTGACCCTCAACCTTGGTGTTTTCCTGATTTCTAGGCTTGGCTACAAGAAGTACGAACACGTCCTGTGTACTCTGAAGGTGGATAGCAATGGCGTGATCACAGTAAAGCCTGACTTCACAGGCCTCAAAGGACCCTACAGGTAAGGAGAGGACGAAAGGGGTAGTGGAGGCTGCCATTCCTTCCCTGAGTTGCGCTTCTTGTCCCTAGTCAACCGGACTGTCAGAAAGTCCTTCGTCTGTTCTCACTTTGACATTCCCAGGCAATGGTTCATATTCTGTCTGAGTCATAGGCCCTTCGAAAACTGGGGACCATGTTCTCAGAAAATGTGCAACTGCACCAATCTGAAAGGGATCACATCAGTCGTGCAATTAAGTGACAGTGATTCTCTGTGCTGCGGCATATAGGACCTGACCAGAACAGAGTGGGGTGAACTCAGCCAGGCTTTTCCTCTGGGCTGACTGTGCCTCATCTCTGTGTCTTGGAAATGACAGAACCGTAAATTAGAAATTATCTGGACCAACCTGTCCATTTTTCAGGTGAGAGAACTGGGTGTGGGGAATGTTTTGCCTTATGGTGACTTCAAGCCAGAAATGGGCCCAGAACTTACACTTTCTGAGTCTAGTCTGGTGCCCTCTCTGCTTTACCCTTTTGTTTCCCTCTCCCGGTCGTCATTACGGCCATGTTTATCATCATAAACTTCAGGTGACGTGTATGGACCCTGGTAGCTCATCCCTGAGCTGGAGCCGGAGGGTGCATCTCTCATGACCAGAGTTGCTCCTTTCTGTGGCTTTGACCTTACAGGATCGAGACACAGGGGGAGAAGCAGGAGCTGTGGAAGTACACAATTGACAATGTGTCCCCCCTTGCACAGCCGGAGGAGGAGGAGCGGGAACGGCGAGTGTTCAAGGATGTAAGTGCAAGTTCATTCCAAGTATCGAAGGGATGAGCCTCAGTACCTGGAGCTGAGACCATGTCTGAGCTAGATGTCAGCAGTTGCTTGGGAGAAGCCTTGCCCTTCAGAGCCCCTTCTGACTTAGGCAGCATTGCTAATATGTCAGACTGAAGTTTCTGATCATATAGTAATAATAATACCATTTATTTGAGCAATTACCATGTTCTGTGCTGCGTACTTACCATACCTTATTTCCTTTAGTCCTTACAATAACCCTTTGAGGTGAACACTTCTCTTCTTACCACCTTATAAACAGGGAAACTGAGATTAAGGAGCTAATATAGCTTGTCAGCACGAGAGTCAGGATTCCATCCCAGACCAGCTGACTCCAGAGCCTCTGTGCTTCACAGCAAAATGTCGGAGGGTCAGTGCTTAGGCCTCCAGCTCATGGTGACCTTTCCCATGATTGCTTTTCTTCTTCTTCCTGTTCAGAACTGAACTTCGGTCTAGCTTGGGTTGCATCTTGAGTTTTGATTTGGTTTGTTTCCTCAGCTTTATGGCCGGCACAAGGAGTATCTCAGCAGCCTCGTAGGCACTGACTTTGAGCTGGTACGTAGCTGGGCTTCCTGCAGCACTGTCAGTTGTGTTTAGCCAGAGCATTCCGACTGTGGATGAGTTATAACACCTCTCTTAAAGGTTTGAAGTATACCCTCCGGTATGAAAAGGAAGTCAAAGAATAGCACATAGAGTCCTCGTTACGTGTTTTGAAACACTGCATGTTGATCTAGAACTGTTAATGCCTGGAAAAAGGTCTGAAAGGCTGCACATGTGCTGTTGGTAGCTTTCTCTGAGGAGGGTGGGATTAGAATGTGGTAGATGGGGCCGGGCGTGGTGGCTCAAGCCTGTAATCCCAGCACTTTAGAAGGCCAAGGCGGGCGGATGATGAGGTCAAGAGATCGAGACCATCCTGGCCAACATGGTGAAACCCGGTCTCTACTAAAAATACAAAAATTTACAGGGCATGGTGGCATATGCCTGTAGTCCCAGCTACTCGGGAGGCTGAGGCAGGAGAATTGTTTGAACCCAGGAGGCAGAGGTTGTAGTGAGCCAAGATTGTGCCACTGCACTCCAGCCTGGCGCCTGGCCACAGAGTGAGACTCTGTCTCAAAAAAAAGAATGTGGTAGATGGGTAGTGGGTGGTGAGAGGGATATATTAGGGATTTTTATTTTTTAGTCCCTAAACTTAGGTAGTTTTCAATTTTTATCAGTGATAATGTATTTATGTATGACTTTATAATTAATTTAGAAAATAAATATAAAGATGAAAAATGTCGTCTTCACCTTCCATGTGGATGTTTTTTCAAAATACCCCATAGAGAGGCAGGGGTGCCATTTCTGTTTGTCACATATTTTGGCTCTTAAAAAATAGAGGCCTGCTGCAGTGGCTCATGCCTACATTCCCAGCACTTTGTAAGGCCGAGGTGGAAGGGTCGTCTGAGGCCAGGAGTTTGAGACCAGCCTGGGCAACATAGTGAGACCACATCTCTACAAAAATAAAAAAATTAGCCAGGTGTGGTGGTGCATGCCTGTAGTCCCAGCTACCCATGATGCTGAGGCAGGAGGATGGCTTGAGCCCGGAAGTTTGAGTTTGCAGTCAGCTATGATCACACCACTTGCATTCTAGCCTGGACAACAGATCAAGGCCCTGCCTCAAAAAAACAAAGAAAGAAAGCAGTTTAGACAACAAAGAAAGAAAGCTCAGTTATTCTGTGGTGCTGTTCTTTGTGTTTTCTCATTCTAAATGTTCCATTTCTAGAACTCGAAACAAGAATAGAATTACTTACTGGTTTCCCTCTCTTTCTCTAAAAAATTAACCTTCACTATTTTCATATTGCATAAGCAACAGACATTCAGTATTTAAAAGTTAGATAAGACAGACAAACAAATAACTAAAAAAGAAAAGTCCCTGATTTCTTGATCTCGGCCATCTAAAACGAACAGGGCATTCTGGCTTCCCATTGCACACCATAGGGTGGTTGCTGTTGCTTGGCTAATTTCCCATAATGCATTGTCCTCACTGCCATTTAAATTATGTACTTTCTCCCTGCATTATGAGTCTTAGGAATGAAGGAAACAGATCTATGGAGAAGTGTCAGGGTGGGGAGTAGTGACAGCCAGGGTCTGACACCCAGTGTCTTCTGCAGATTTGTAGATGGGGCTGGAGGAAAAGTGCCCATGCCCTCCAGGCCTGCTGATCTTTTCCCACTTCTCTTCTGCTGATCTTTTCCCACTTCTCTTCACTTTAGACTGTTCCAGGTGCCCTCCGGCTCTTCGTAAATGGAGAGGTAGGTAAGTGTCTCGCTAGACATAGATCTCTTGATGCTTAGGCACGTGCGTAGATGGAGCTGTGAATCATCTCCTCCACCCTGGTAGAGGCCTATCTGCCGTACTTGGGAAACTCAGTGATAAGTCTTTCCTGGAAATGCAGAGTTCCTGGCCCTCAAAAGACTTGCCCTCAGGGTGTGTAGGCCCCTCAGGACTGGGTTGGTTGCTAAGGGTGGTAGGAAAATGAGCTAAAATCGCTTCCTGTTTTCTCTCTTAGTTTCAGCCCAAGGCTATGAGTATGACAATCTCTACGTTCACTTCTTTGTGGAACTGCCAGCTACTAGTAAGTAATATTCTTAAGTCTCTCCTTTTCTACCCATTCAGACATTTGGTCAGACTTCCTTTCCCACTCCTTTGCTGAAATCGTTACTATTCTTTTCAAGGTCATAGATCACATGCACTTTGCCACGCCCAGTGAGCTTCCCTGCTTTCACCTCACTTGACCTTCCTGAAGCATTTGCCAGAGCCCGCTGCTCTGCACCACACACTTCTCTGACTTCTGGCTCCACACTTCTCTCTCCTATCTCGCTGGTGGCCCCTCAGCCTTCTTGGGTGATGCCTTCCCTTCTGTTGATCTTAAACTATGAGAGTACCCATGGCTAAGCCAAGGGCTTCTCTTACGCTCTGTCTGCAGTCTTCCTGGGCGACCTCATCCATCCCATGGCTTAAATACCTTCGGTATTTCTCAGACTCCTGGGTTTCTGCATCTAGCCTTAACCTTTCCCCTGGCCTCCAGACTCATATCCAGTTACTTCTTTGTCATTTCTGTCTAAAAGGAACTCTTAATTTCTCCTCCTCCCTCAAACCTCCCCTCCCTGGCCTTCCTCATCCTAACAATGGCGGTGTCCTCTACTGAGTTGCTGATGCCAAAATCCTAGGGGACATCCTTGATCCCTCACTTTCCCTGGTTCCCTGTAGCCAGCCAGGCTGTCAGCAGTTGCTGTCTGTTCTTTCTTCAAAAGCTGCTGTGAACCTGTCTGTTGTCTCCAGCACCCTACTCCAAGCCGCCACCGCCGTCTCTTGTCTAGGCCAGTGCTTTCAGTTTCTGACTTATCCCCCTGCTTCCTGCCTTGCTCCCATTTGCAGTTTATTTGCCACAGACACCAAAGCCAAATTGAGACTTTAAAAATGTAAACAAGTTGTGTCCCTTTTGAGCTGAGAAGCCCAACAGCTTCCCCTCCCATTCAGAGTAAAACATAAACTCCATACCCCGAATGAGCTGGCCCCTGCCTGTCTCTTCCATACAACATTCTAGTCATTCTTCCCAGCCAGGTTCACTCCCACCTTTTCAGGTCCGTTTCCTTTGTCTGAAACCCTTTCTGCCGTATCTTAGCATGGCTGGTTCTTTCTGAGTTTAGGTCTCAGCCTGTGTCACTTCTGAGACAGGCTCATTGGACTGACCACCCAGTCCAAATGAGCCTCCCAGTCACTCAGTCCCTTCCCTGTTTTATTTTTAGTATAGCACTCATCACTACCCAGTAGTCTTTTGTTTGCTTGTTTTTTGTCTGTCTCCCTGCTTCCCCAAGAATGTCAGCTCCAAGAGAGATGACGATCTTTTCTATTTGGTTACCAAGATATCCCCAAGATACACTAGCACATAGCAGGCACTCAGTAAACGGTAAATGAGTGATTGTGTGAATACATGAATACAGAAACTTTGTCTTTTTCTCAACTACTTGCTTTCCTCCCAGGTGAGCTTACCATATCTGGTCTTTGGCTTTCAGACTGGTCAAGCCCAGCATTCCAGCAGCTCTCAGGAGTAACACAGACCTGTGCCACCAAATCCCTAGGAATGGTATGAAGAATGAGAGCAGGCATCTGGAAGGGAATGACATCTGCTCCTGGGATGGCATTTGCAGCTTTATCAGGCCAAGTGCTGGGCACCTGGGGAGGACTCCAGAGTTGGGTGACTTGAGCATGGGTTCGGCAGAGCTACCTGGTCCCGAGGTCCTCTGTCTGCCTTTTTGAGGATGGCAGCAGCTTGTATTTGGGTGTCCCTTTGCCACTCAGATTCCTATTTCCCACCTGGGTGATAATTTTTCTTCTTCCCTTGTGAAGATAACCTTGTCATTGGCCACAGGGAGAACAAATTCCAAGGGAGGCCTTGCCCACCCCATGACACTCCTTTTTATAGGACAAGGTGGCCTACTTCTCCTACCCGTTCACGTTTGAAGCCTTCTTCCTCCATGAGGATGAATCTACTGGTGAGTAGCTCAGTGGTTGATCTGGGCCTTGGTTCCCCTCAAGCAGTGCTATCTTGATGAAGGCTACCTGTGACCTGGCCACTTCTCATTGCTCTCAGATGCGCTCCCGGAGTGGCCTGTGCTCTACTGTGAGGTCCTTTCCCTGGACTTCTGGCAGAGGTACCGTGTAGAAGGCTATGGGGCTGTGGTGCTGCCTGCCACTCCAGGTAACTGCTTGTCCCCACCCTTGTGGCCCACATGCGCTAGGCACTAAGAACCAGACTAACACTCAAATGCATCTGGTGAGGGGTGGGGATAATTAGGAATTAGAAGTGATGTGGCCTTGGCACTGACTTCCTGACAGTCTCTCCATGTGCTTCGGGCTCCTCTGATTGGACTCAGGGTGGGAAGCTGTATGGCAAAATTGGCTCAGAGCCTATGCGTGTTGAATGAATCAGCATTCAGTTTGAAATAAAAGCATCTGTCTTTTGCTTTGTGCCAGACAGTGTACCATACTTCTCATTTAATTCTCCCATCCACTCTGTAAGGTGCAGGTGGTATTTCCATTTTACTAGATGAGGAGAATGAGGTCCAGAGAGGTTAAGAAACCTGTCTGGGTATGCAGGTAATAACTGGCAGAGCTGAGATGGGAATTTCTTCCTTATCGATTTCCAAACAGGTGCTCTGGGTAACCATGATAACCTTCACCAGAGGCCAGGTCATAACCAGACCAGGTGTTTTAGCTGAGTCTAGGCCTGTATCATTGCTGGGGAGTCACTGAGGGGTCACATGCCCTTTCTGGATCCAGCCCCCATCTCTTATTCCCCTGTGTAGGCTCACACACCCTGACAGTCTCTACGTGGAGACCTGTGGAGCCGGGCACAGTGGCTGAGCTGAGGAGGTTTTTCATTGGCGGCTCTCTGGAACTGGAGGACCTCTCCTACGTGCGGGTACCAGGATCCTTCAAGGTGACTTTTGTCTTTGGAGTGACTTCACACTGGGAACTTTGGTCCTGCCTTTCTATTCTGTAGGAGGTGGCATCTGGGTCAAGACCTCTTAGTTGAGCATTGCTTCAGTATTACTTAGCTCCTTCCTTCCTGTGGCTTAAGCTGGAAGTCATGACCACAGTTTGAACCGTATTCCAATATCTACACTGCTATCATAGGAGGGCTCTGGAAAATAGTATACTTAGAGATTTCCCCTGGTCCCCATCAGAATAACTGACCCTTTCTTTCCTCTGTCACTGAGGGCCTCAATAATCAGATGTGGAGAGGACTCAGAGTAAGCGTGTAAGACTGCTACTTCTCAAATGAGGTTGACCGTTCCCTGGTTTTAGTTGGGGGAACTCAGTATTAGCCTTGAGGTGATAGAGTCTGGGTGATGGAATAAGGTTTCCCCAATAGAACTGTGCATCCCAAGAACGGGATTAAGAATGAGAGGGAGGCCAGAACGGTGCGGGGGTATCTAGAGACTGCAGAAACCTGATGGTGTCTCAACGGCGTGCCGCAGGGGGAACGCCTGAGCCGCTTTGGACTCCGCACAGAGACCACAGGCACTGTCACCTTCCGCTTGCACTGTCTGCAGCAGTCCAGGTGAGTGACCTGGGCCTCTGCCTTGGGGCATCTCACCCCTGAGGGCTGGAGAGCAGCTGTAACCATGTGGCTGGCCTCCCTGCAGGGCCTTCATGGAATCGAGTTCCCTTCGGAAAAGGATGCGGAGTGTGTTGGACCGTCTGGAAGGGTTCAGCCAGCAGAGTTCCATTTACAATGTGCTGGGTATGCCCCCTTCCCCGGCTGGCCACCCCGGGTCAACACCGGCCTGTTTCTCTCTGCACTGTGGCAGCTGAATATCATATATCCTTCCCTTACAGAGGCCTTCCGTCGAGCCCGGCGCCGCATGCAGGAAGCCCGGGAAAGCCTCCCCCAGGACCTAGTGAGCACCTCTGGAGCCTTGGTCTCCTAGTCCATGGCAGCCCTGGCCCACAGTGCAAAAGGACAAGATGACAGATAGCGGAGGCCAGTGCTCTCCTGCCTCCTCATCTTTCTGATTACAGACCAGAGGAGCTGGGAAATTCTCAGCTGGCCACTCTGCCTAGCCTTCTGCGGGGCCCTCTCCCTGCTCTGTGGAAATAAAGCCAGAGACCCTGTGGCCCACTTCATGTTGCAGCCACTGTAAATGGGCATCACAGCAAGGCAGGCTTTTTGGTCTGAAACTAGTTTGGGGTGACCCCATAGTAAGTCTGTCCTTGACTCACTTTTCTGGCTTGTCTCACAGTAGCAGGGAGGTGCAGGCATTTACTGTTCTCCAGCCTTTAAAAATGGATGCTTCCTTCTTCCAAGACCAAAGAAGGAAGCTGGATAGTGAGAAGGTTCTTAAATCCCCAGTCTGTGAGTCTCAGCCTCCTCCTTCCAGGACAGCCTCATTCTACTGCTTGGAGCTTGCTGAGGCTGAGATATGAATTATTTCTGAGTAAGTGAAGGCTGAAGGCAATGTCCAGTCCTTTCTGCTAGCTGGGTGTTATCTTTACCTTTATATATGTGTGTGTGTATATATATATATATATATATATATATCCTTTTTATTTTGACTGATGTTCTGTTGGCTGTTTATCTGTTCCAGTTGCTGGTATGGCTGAGGTGTTCTTAATGTCAGGGCCTCTACCATGTCTGCCCTTCCCCTTTTCTGCCTTTCCCTACCCCACAGTGTTTCTTTGGGCCCTCCTAATTCAGCCCCCAGGAGAGGCATAGATGGTGGTGCCAGCTTGCATGTTAGCAGCACTTCTCTTAAAAATCTGGAGCAAAGCATGGAATCGAGGCCACATCCTCCCTAGCCCAGCACAGAAACAGCAGCCCCTGCCCTTAGCAGTGCTTTATTGGTAGAAGCAGAGCATGCTGCCCAGCCTCAGGCTCAGAAGAGGATTGTGGGGTGTCTGGAGGCTGGGACTGTGTGGTCTCTCAATCATGGTGAGGAAGGGGAGGGAGGGCTAGGAAACAGTAGAAAGTGCTGTAAACCCTCCAGCTGACTCTTCTTGCCTGGGCTGTTAGATCACATGGCTTGGCTCCCAAGCCTTTGCACATGGCACTCATTCATAACCTAATATCTAAGAGGCTCCTAAGGTAGGAAGGTCCGTTGCTGATAGGAGCCCCCAGCTCTCACTCCTAGCCAGGGAACCCAGCTCTGAGCTATAGCCAGCAGAAGCATCAGCAGGCTGCAGTTGCTCCAGCGGGAGAAGGGAGCATCCTGGTCCTCCCCTTCCCCTTGTCTCCAAAGGTTGGAGGCTTGGTATAGACTCCTGTGGAAGTAACAGAATTGGGTAAGTGAGGAATTTACTGGACATTTAGAAATGGAGCTGTTTTCAGGTATTAGTGACCAAGCTGAGGATCGTTGGACACTCCTACTAGTTTCCCCCTGAAGTCCTGGGGCCTGGGATTGCCTGTCAGCCCAGAAGCTAGCACATGGGGAAGCCACTTGGAAAAAGTACCATGTCCCTGGTGACAAGTTCAGTTTTCTCTGCTTAGAGACCTAAGAGGACTCAGCCATCTATCCAGGGAAGGAGGTGACGGCTCGACCCAGCCCAGGGTGCTGGAGGTGGCCTCTTTTTACCTGCAGAAGTCTCATCTCCCTCGCCAGGCTGACAGGTTCAACCTGGGGATACGGCTGCAGTTCACAAAGCCCCGGGGGTAGATGTTGGCTCTGAAGATGTCCCTTGAAACCATGGTGATACCAGTATTGTCACATATAATTCGAGACAAGGAAATTTGGCCCAGGGCCTTGCGCTGTCTTCTGGTGAAAACACCTCGTTTCTGCCACCAGAACCTACCAGGCGGTCAAGAGATGTGGGTGAAGGTTGGGGAGGAGCACCTGTTGTGTGCCAGGTACTTTACATATATTATTCCAATTCTCACAAAATTCCTGCAAGATGAGAATTTTAGAAATGAAACAAATTCAGTGGCCAAATAAATTGTGCAGCATTAAGTGCACAGTAATTTAAGTGGCCAGGGCTGAATTTGAACTCAGGCAATACCAACTCCAAATGAGTCAGGTCTTCAATCACAAAATTATTGGAGGGAAACCAGATTTAGCCCTTTCTGCCCCTGTTTTCTGGGACCAACCCAGAACAGTGAGGCTGCCAATCTAGCTCCTGGGTTTCAGATGACTCCAGCTCAGGCAATATGGTCCTTGCCTGGGTCAGTGTCTCTCTCTCTTTGACCCAGCTTTCCAGAGAGGAGCCTCCTGATTTCAGTTCCTGTGAACTCAGCAGAAATGACACTAAAAAGAGCAGTGTTCTCCAAAGTTTAGTCTTGAAATGCTAGAGTGATTTTCTGTGCCTCTGGTGCTGATGTCTTTTATGATAGGGTCACTTACCTGTCTCCGGCTCGGGCTCTTCTGAACTGGTTCTCAAACAGGCAAGCCAGAAGAGGCCCCACTCGAGCCCCCGGCAATAGAGGCTCTGCGATGGCCCCAATCCAGATGTCAATGTTGTCAGGTGTCCCATACAGATTCAGGAACTTCCGTGCTAAGTCCTGGTTTTTCAGCACCTGGCTAAGCTGTGCCAGATTCTGGGGCTGGGAGAGCCCACAAAAGCTCCTCCAAGCATTGTACCCTGCAGGGGAGTGGGGAGAAGCAGCTTCAGTCTTGCTGAGCTCCCATTAGCTTCTGCTGCTCTCCGCCAGTCCTCTAGGAGGAAGCTGTGGCCAGTCAGTGTTGAGCAGAACCAGAAGATTCAGCTGGCAGAAGAGGCCCTAACCCTTCTAAAGACCAGGTATCTGTCCTCTGACTGAAAATGTGAGCGGATAACCATGCTCAGTGTGCATCAGACCGAGGAGTGTGTCCTAACCTACAAAGCTTTTCTAACCTAAAACTCATAACCACAAATCCGTAATGAAACTATTACTGGGCTCAAGTGCATTCATTAGACACAAGTAAGACAATAGCCAGAACATAAAAGACTCTCCATTGGGTTTCTAGAAGGAATGAATGAGTGATGAATAAGTGAAGGAACAAACCAACAAATGGAGAGCATGAATAAAATTCATCTACGCAGAAAAGGATGGCACGCTGTGATTCTGTTGATACGAGAGGTCCTGCATAGGCCAATACAGAGACACGAAGTATACTGGAGGTGATCAGGGCTGGGGTGGGGACAGGGGCTGACTGACTGTCCTTACAAGGTTTCTTTGGGAATGATGGAAGTGCTGTGATATTAAATCGTGGCGATGGTTGAATGACTCTAAATACACTAAAATTATTGAATTATCTATTTCATATGGGTTAATTTTATGGTAAATCTCAGTAAAGCAGTTTTTTGTTTTTTTGTTTTTTTTGAGGCGGAGTTTCGCTTGTTACCCAGGCTGGAGTGCAATGGCGCGATCTCAGCTCACCGCGACCTCCGCCTCCCGGGTTCAGGCAGTTCTCCTGCCTCAGCCTCCTGAGTACCTGGGATCACAGGCACGCGCCACCATGCCCAGCTACTTTTTTGTATTTTTAGTAGAGACGGGGTTTCACCATGTTGACCACGATGGTCTCGATCTCTTGACCTCGTGATCCACCCGCCTCGGCCTCCCAAAGTGCTGGGATGACAGGTTTGAGCCACCGCGCCCGGCCTAAAGCAGTTTTTAAAAAGTTTTCAGAAGCTTCCAAAGGCCAGCCATACATATTTGTCAGTTACCAGGATCCCACCAGGGCCAAGCCACATCAGAGAGTGACAATCAAGGTAGCAGATAGCTTTGCCATGTCCTGGACACCAGCCCAACATCATCCATCGAACCACAACACACACACACACACACACACACCATCCCCCAGCAGAACACATGAAAACCAGTGTTTTACCATTACTGAGCACTGTCGGGCGAGTATCTCAGGACCCTCACACCACCTTTGTGAGGTGCTTTTATGGTACGTTAACTCTATCCGGCATGTTTACTAAAGTTGAGCAGCCACGACTGCAGTGTCGCTTTACCGTTAAGTGGAGCGCAACCCAGGCTGTCCAGTTCCCGATTTGACGTTGGGCTTGGGAAGGGATTAGAGGAGATGGCAAGAACTAGTGCCGGGACGATATTTCTGGAGGGCACAGGTATTGGGGGGTTAGCTAGTGATCTCGGCTCTCCGGCTCTTCCTTTTATGTCAAAGTAGAAGGCAAGAATGTCAGTCCAAACTGCACCATTTTGTAAGCCCCCGACCATTTCCCAGACCTTGGTCAAAGTGAAACACTCCACAGGGGGTTGGGCCATGAGAAAAACATCCTTATCATGCCCTGAGGGGGCAAAAGCCCAACTGAAGGAACATCCCTATTATATCCTGCTGGGCAAAGGTCCAAGGAACATCTCTTACCACATCCCACTGAAAAAATGGCCTGATCATAGGCACACCTTATCAATATCCTGCCAGGCAGCAAGCCATTCGGCCCAGGCTCCTCCTGCCCATACCTGTAAGTACTCCCCCACCCCCGTGTAAGCGGTAGTGGGCTCTGGCATTAAGCTGGTCCCCCACCTCTGTAGGTTTTACGCTGGAAATAAATGCCTGCATTTGCTGTTGAGCCGCCCTCTCTTTGTGTGTCTTTGTTTAAGCTTCCCTTCAAAACCTAATAGACACTTGGGTGGCTAGCAATCTCAGCTCCCCAGCAGGGGCGCACAAAGCTCCTTAGCTGCTGAAGGGCCCAAGTTTAAGGAAGGAAAGCAGCTCAGGTTTCTCGAGTGTCTGCTGTGCTCTGCTAGGCGCTGTGTGAAGTGGGGTGGGCTGAAGGAGGTGCCACCACTGCTTCATACGTGGCCAGGATCAGCAGAGGTAGATGGTGCTTCAGGTTCTGTCTAGATAGGGAGGTAGGAGGTGGGAAGGAGGGAGGGGCAAGGCAGTGGCCAAAGCCTTCCCCTACTGGGGCTGAACAGGGGAAAGAGGAGAAATTACAAATTTAAATTCAGATTTTACTACTTCCTATTTGTCTGACCTTGGGAAAATTACTAGCTGTCTCTGACGTATTTCCTCATCTGTAAAATGGCTGTAATCATTACTTCTCAAGGTAATTGGGAAGACAAAATAGTCTACATGAAAGTGACTAAACGAAGTACCTACGTTTGATTCTTTCCTGGGATAAAGTCATTTGTGCCCTCACCAAACAGCCAATGCAGCCTTAGTTTTATTCCACCTATTCCATGCCTCTAAGGCTCTTCGCCTTTCTCCATTTAGAGCAGGGAGCATTTCTGTGGCTCTGGAATTTTAGCCTTCCTCCTTGGAACTTGCCAGGGTATTGGGAATGGAGAAGATCGTCCCTACCTTTTAAGCCTATTGTTTTTTTCTACTTGGAAAGTTCGAGTCTCCCTTTTTCAGCTCTGGGCCTGCGGTGAACCTAAACCTGGACAGCAAACGGTGTTCCGGGGATGCTCTAGGGCATTGACCTTGCCTTGCATGCCTCTGCACCCCTGCACATCCTGTAGACAGCCCCAGTCAGAAAGGAGGTACTGGGGTCTTCCCAGAACCCCCTGAGCAGCCTGGCCTGAGCAAAGCTGGGAGAAGTGGCGGACAGCCCCCTCACCTGGAAGGCCGTGGTCCCGGCTTCGCTGCATGTTGAGAGCCGCCAGGTCCAGCCCGATCCTCCTCACTTGCCGAAATAGCCGGTCCCGGAGCTCATCCACTAACATGGCATCCTGACGGTTCAGCTTGGCAGGGGTGGCCATGAGGCCCCGGAGGATGGGGTCGATGCCACCTGGTAGCAGGGAATATGAGCAGCATAGATCAGACCAGCCTCTGGGAAGCTACCTGGGTTGTTTTTCACATGATGCCAAGCTAGCCCAGAGCTGGACAAGCCAGTCAGGTATGTTGAGTAACATCTGTCAGGAAACAGAAGTCTGGAGGGACATGAAGTAGCTGGAGCTGGGAGACAAAGGGGTCACCCCACTTCTTAAGGAGTGGAAGGCGAGCTCCCCATCAATCTGACATTAGTCTCTGCCCCTTTAAAAAATCCTCTCATCCCACAGAGGATGGGAGGCCTGTGGCTGAGGGTCTTGCTGGCACCTGCCTTGTTTCCACTGTCCTGGGGAGATATTAGCAGTGGCCTCTGCAGCAGCTGGGCTTCCTGGCAGTAAGCTTGGCCCACCTAGGGGAGGGTGTGCTCCCCACCCTCACCCCCATTTGCCGCCCTGGAAAACCTGGTCACCTTCGTGCACGATCCGCCAGCTGGCAAAGAAGGCGGAGCTAAGCGGGATGTGTGAGTTGGGTGCAGAGGCCCGGTACTGACTGTCCAAGCGGAACATGAAGGGCTGGAGCATGGTGTGGCCAAAGCGGAAGGCCAGGGTGAAGACATTGGCCACACGTGGGTCCACTTGGGAGGAGTACCCCCTGTAGGGCCCCAGGGTTCTCCTGGCCCGGGCCTTGCCCAGAACCAGGGGTAGAAAGTCTCGGTAGGTGATGATCTAGAAGAGAAGACAGCAGGAACGTTCCCCAGAGGCCACTCATCCACATCCTAGCCTTTTCGAAGGGTGGCTCTGACATATTAATTCTTTATTGTCATCATGTGACAACATTAATTTCCCATTGGTGGATGGAGATACGAAGCCCAGAGGGGATGAGTGACACGGACAGGGTCACACAGGGAGTTAGAGGCAGAATCAGGAGAGAGGTCAGATCCAGGCACAGCGCCAGTCACCCAGACCCAGCTGGTTTTAGGCACATCCCCAAGGATGTGTTAAGGACTGCTTCTCATGCCAAGCTTGTCATCTAGGGGGATGCTGGGATGCAGAGTTCTTTACCTGGACCATGGCCCCCACGATCTTCCGAGCCTCATTGTATAGCTTGTCTCCACTCCACCGGGGATTCAGGCGTCTCAGCTCGGTGGCCAGGCGGTTGTGCTCTCGCATAAAGAGGGTGTGCATGGCGGCCAGTTTGGGGGTTTCCGTTGATCGGGTGTCACCTTGAAAACCCCAAACTCAGACTTATTGCAGCCTTTCCCAGAGAAAGGTCTTTCTGCCAGGGCAGACCCAGGACTGGAGACTGGAGAGATGGGGTGGGCCACACTCTTGGGCCTCGCTGACCTCTATCTCCAGCTATGCTGAGGCTCCTTACCGCCACCCTCGTCCCTAACACAACAGGCCAGGAAGGGGAGGACAGGGGAATCCTAGCAGGTTTGGGTTAGCTGGGAAAGCACAGGGCAGCCACTGGTTTCAGGCAGGGGCATCTTTGCCTAAGGTTTCTACTCATTCTACTCTACAAGACAACCAGATCATAGCCTGGACCAGCTATGAACAAGGGCACCTTGACTTTGGGACTGCGAGCCCACCTGTCCATGAACTGCATCTGCCTGCATGTTCTCTACCGAGGGCTGTTGTACCCTTTCCCATCTTTGGGCTTGGCCTCCTACTGCTCTCCCCCATGAGCCAGAGGGAAAGAGGAGGAGAGGGAGGGCCAGGCAGATACCGTTCTTACGAACAGACCTTCTACTACAGGCGGGGAAGGAAAGGAAACTCCATCATTTGCTTGCTTTTAACTAAATCCTTTTGCACAAGGTCTTAGTTAGGCTACTGTTCAGTAGACCTCTCCTGAAGGCACATGCTGCTCTTCCCAGGACACACAAATGTACACTCCTTCAAAAGAGGAGCTGGGGCCGACTCCCTGTGAGGAAAACAGTGGAATAGGGTGGACAGGGCAGAGACCTGGGACCTGCGGTGAATCTGTTCCTCAAGTGGACTCTGCCATTGGAAACTAACTCTGTGCCTTGGGCACATTATTCACCTTCCCTGAGTCTGTGTCTTATTGTAAAATGAGGACGATAATAATTCCCTCCTTCCAGGGCTGTTGCAAGGGTTAGAGATGGCAGATTTAAATATCTTAATGAGGTCGGGTGCAGTGGCTCACACCTGTAATCCCAGCACTTTGGGATCCCAAGGCAGGTGAATCACCTGAGGTTAGAAGTTCGAGACCAGCCTGGCCAACATGGTGAAACCCTGCCTCCACTAAAAATACAAAAATTACCTGGATGTGGTGGTGGGTACCTGTTATCCCAGCTACTCGGGAGGCTGAGGCAGAAAAATCACTTGAGCCCAGGAGGTGGAGGTTGCAGTGAGCTAAGATCATGCCACTGCACTCCAGCCTGGGCAATAGAGTGAGACTCCATCTTAAAAATAGTAATAATAAATATTTTGATGAGAAATGACTACCATTATTATTGTAACTGTGTACACAGAACAAAAGACACTGAGTTGTGCTTCCAGAAGAAGGTATTAACTGCCTAGCAACAGTTGGGGACAGGGAGGAACTAAGGAAATTTATCCCAGAGAAGAAAAAAAAATGGAGATGGAAGTAACAGTTACTTTGAGGTATTGCTGTGTGAAAGAGAGTGTCTTTTCTGAGGTTCCAGAAGCATACTTAAGAGGAATAGGTGAACATTTGATTAAAATAAGGAGACTTTTTTTTTTTTTTTTTTTTTTTTTTTGAGATGAAGTCTCATTCAGTTGCCAGGAGGGAGTGCAGTGGCACAATCTTGGCTCATTGCAACCTCTGGCTCCCTGGTTCGAGTGACTCTCCTGCCTTAGCCTACCGAGTAGCTGGGACTACAGGTGTGCACTACTAGCCCAGCTAATTTTTCTATTTTTTAAAGTAGAGACAGGGTTTCACCATGTTGGCCAGGATGGTCTTGATCACTTGACCTCGTGATCCGCCTGCCTTGGCCTCCCAAAGTGCTGGGATTACAGGTGTGAGCCACCGCACCCAGCTAAGGAGACCTTTCTAACAGTCGGAGCTGCTTGTGGCTGAGCCAGGGTGCCACATAGGTGGTGAGAGCCTTCTCAACGGAGATGGATAAGCAATGATCTCTGACCACACACAGGGAGTTTGCAAAGGGACTCCCACATTCTGATTCTGTGATGACTACAGCTCTCTGCCTATGATGTGCCTGAGACTGAGGTCTCAAACTACGTACCTTCACCACCTCCCACCATGACTTCCCAGTCCTGACCCCAGGGATGGCTGTTTCCTTGGAAGACACCACCTGCCTCCCAGTCTGACCTGCCAGGAAGCAGGGGATGCGCGCCGAGCGGTTGGTGAGGAGACAGGGGTCGTCGTGAAGGTTGTCGAAGGGCAGCAGGGCCCGGCCGCTGTCTTGGAAGCGCTGGTTGACGGCCAGCAGCCCCAGGTAGTTGGTCTTGTTGCGGAGCCGCAGCGCGAGGGAGACCTCGCTGCCGTACACCATGCTGGCGTCCACGAAGGAGGTGAGCGCGTTGATCTGGTTGCGGACTTGGTTCTTGTTTTGGGGGCATGAGGGTGCCGAGCGGAAGAAGGGGATGCAGTCACGCTGGTTCTTGATGCGGGGGTCATTGGGTGGTATCTAAGGTGGAAGAGGAGTCAGTGGCATGGGGCCCCCTCAGTAGCAGACTCACTTCTCTCCCTCATGTCCCACCTCTCTCAAAACCTTGCTCAAAAACTCCCCTCCTCCAGGAAGCCCTCCTTGACTCACCCAGGCTCATGCTGCTCACCCCTTCAGTCTGAGTGTCCTTAGCATTTTGTTTCACAGAGTCTCAGAAGGTTAGGAATGAATGAGGCTTTTAAAACAATCTAGATCCTCATTTTCCAGCAAGGAAAACAGCCTCAGAGAGAGGAAGTGACAACTAGTTAGCAGGAGAGGTGGGTTTAGAACTTAGTTCTCGTAACTCTTGGGCTGGTGCTTCTTTAATTCTGTTCAGTTTGACAGAGTTTTTCTAAGTCCCTTTCTTGCTCGGTGCTTTGGAGACTACAAAGGTCAAAAAGCACAGAGAAGGTTGCAGGAAGCTGGCAGTTCAGTGGAAAAAGACACACACACACATAGAGTTAAGAAACTAGGTTGGAGTGGCATCTGCTGTGCTTGATAGAAAAGCCATATGCGGGCTGGGCATGGTGCCTCACGCCGGTAATCCTAGCGCTTTGGGAGGCCGAGGCAGGTGGATTACATGAGGCCAGGAGTTTGAGACCAGCCTGGTGAACATGGCAAAAACTCATCTCTACTAAAAATACAAAAATCAGCCGGGTGGCACATGCTTTTAATCCCAGCTACTTGGGAGGTTGAGGCAGGAGAATTGCTTGAACCCAGGAAGCAGAGGCTGCAGTGAGCTGAGATTGCACCGCTGCACTCCAGTGTGGACAACAGAGTGAGACTCTGTCTCAATAATAATAATAATAATAATAATAATAAGGAAAGAAAGGAAGAAAGAAAGAAAAAGAAAGGAGGGAGGGAGGGAGGGAGGGAGGGGAGGAGAAAGAGAAGAGAAGGGAAGAGGGAGAAAAGAAGGCATATGCCAAAGGTATGATCGGAGAAGCCTCCCCAGATGAGGGGCCCCTGAGCGAGGGATTGAGGACTAGAAAAGGTTGCAGCAGGGAGAGGCCAGCCAGAGGCCCTCACATGTCACCCCTCATGAATGTGGCCCCACCTATTAAGGGTGACTGTGTGCGTATGTGAGAGTGTGTGCACGTGTGTCACCTCTATGTCCCTAGCAGAGACTCTGCTCCCTGGACTCTATCTTTTCTTCCCGAGTGTCCCACACTTGCCTTCTAGCCTGAAGATCAGGACCCCACCCACGGCCCAAACCCAAGAAGTTGGCAAGAGCTGCAGTGCCCTCGGACCACTCTGGGAAGAAGAAAAGGGCAAGAGCTAAGAAGCCCTTAGGTTGCCAAAAGCAGGGGCCCAGAGGCTTCCCCTGTTGGATTGAGACCCATGGGTCAAGGCCTGTCTCAAGAATTTCCCACTCCATGAAGCCTGACCTGAGCCTCCTGGCAGATTGCCCTGCCCCCACCTCTCAAACACACACGGCGTGGGGTTTCTGCTCAGCTGTGTTTCTTGTGTCTCGATCTCGTACCCTGGCTCCACAGACAGCTCCTAAGGATGGTGCTTCAGTCCTCCAAATCCCCACCCCCAGCACCTTGCCTTTGGGGGAGGCCACACAAGGGCGTGGGAGACTGGCTGAGGGTACCTTGATGGGAAAGCAGGGGGGCACCTGGGCGCAGGTCTTCTCACAGTCAACCTCTGCAGTGAAGGCCACTCTGGCTGGGGACTCCGGGGCGAAATCTAGGTCATGGTCAATGAACTGGCCCCACTGCATGAACATGAGGGCCCGGCCGTGGTCCGAGGCCAGTCTCTCACTGGGGAAGCGCACAATCTGGTTGGAGACAGCTCGGACCTGGTGGGGAAATAATGTCAGCATGGGCCATGGGCTCCCTGACACCACAAGGTATCAGAGCCAACCCCGGACGCAGGGAGCAGCAGCTCCCCTGCTGGAATCCAGAAACTCTCCTCTTCTGCCTCCCACGCCCCTTTTCCTTTTTGTCCCTGGAGACATAGGTACCTCCTGCTGTCATTCCTGCAAGGACGGTTTCTGGGATTCCAGTGGTAAAGAGAAGGAGAGGGGCCAGGTCGACTGCCTCAGACCTCACCAGCTCTTCCAGAGGGGAAAGCAGGTGAAATCGATAGATCAATTTATAGACTGATGATAGCTAACCAGCTGATGGCACTGACTCACAGGTGCATGAACTGGTTGCCAGGTGATAGATAATACATGTAGGGAGTACTAGGTCAGTGGATGGAAGGACGGATAGAAGAAAATTAATTAATAGATGTTGCTGGATGATAAACTGCTCTATTGATACATCAATAGAAAACTGATGAGTTGATAAATGTGAAATAGATCAACAGATGAAGCCAGAGGAAGGTATAGAGAGCTGTTTATATTTAGCAAGAGACTTTGACACTAATTTTCTCAGAAAAAAACCCTGCAACACCGTAATGCTTAGTGTGAATAGAGCATGTCCTGTATAGCTATTTATACTAAGGACTTCAGTATTCACACAGGCTCTGCAAGACGGGTTTCAGTGCCATTTTACAGGTGAGGAAACTAAGTCTCAGAAAGCTGTATTGTTTGCCACAAGTCACTGCGCTGGTCAGTGGAAGGGCCTGGGTTCAAGCCCTGCCTGGCTGACTCTGGGCTGTGTTTCACTCCCTGAATTTAAGAGATCAAGCAACCTCCACACCCTCAACCCCAACTCACAAGAGGGAGGAGGAAGCCATTGCGCCTCCTGCCGGGGGTCCAGCCGAAGGGGAGCGACCGCCCGTCCTCATATTCGGCGGGCAGCCAGCGAGCCAGAGGCTGGTTGGAGGCCCCTAGCCAGGGTCTCCTCCTGCAGCAGTGGGGGGTGGGAGGGGGTAGGGTTAGCAGGGGCAGGGCCTGGAGATGGCTCAGCAAGGAGGAAGAGGTGGGTGCGGGAAGGGAGGCCCCCCGCAGGTGCAGCCCCGTGCCCACCTGTTGTTGCACCGCCCGGTGATGGTGCGGTACTTGCGGCCGCAGCGCTCCGGCTGGTCCTGGAGAGCACAGCCACTGGCCTGGGACAGCAGCCGCAGCTGCAGTTCTGTTAGCACATCTTGGGGAGGGCAAGTGGGCAGGCCTGAGCTGCCAGCTTCGTACCTCCCATCTCTTTATCCTCTCTCCTCCCAGCACCCCAAGCCTGTGCACCCTGCCCCCCTCCCCTGGCTTCCTTCCACTCCAGGCTGGGGCAGGCCCAGGGGGCTCCGTGGAAGCAGAGTACCAGTGACATTGAAGGGTCCAGACTGCTGGGGTTGTAACTTCTCTTCCAGCAGCCCCAAGGCCACATGCATGTAATCTGCAGCCTGAACAACTCTCCTGGTGGCTGCCACCGGTTGCTTGAAGTAGGACAGGAGGTCCATGGGGCTGGCTGAGCCGCTGCGAAGCCGCTGTTTGATGCTGCCCAGGAGAGGAGGAGTGAGGCCTGGAGAGGGGGTCCAGACCCACCCAACAGAGGCCCAGTCCTGGGGAACAGTCAGGATAGGGCCCGGGGACAGAAGGGTGGATGGAAGGGAGGCTCTACCAACAGCAGAGGTTCATGGGGTCCAGAGGTGGGTAATGGGTGAGATGATGGGTGGTGGCTGATCTCTTGGGGACTGGGCCTATTGATTGCTCAGGGTGGTGGGCACCTTGGCTGGAGTCCCCCGCGCCCCCCACTGATCCTCCCAGGCCCATGCAGCCCACAGACCCAAGTCCACCTGTCCTGGGTCCAATTGTAGGCAGCATCCACCAGCAGCTTGGCCTCTGCTATGCAGTCCCGGAGGACCGAGGTCTCCACTGCCCCAGGGGAGGCTGTTCAAAGAGACGGAGGCTCAGGGTTCTGGGAGCCACGAGACCCAAGCGCTTCCCCTTCCCTTTCCCTTCCCTCCTCCTTGGCCGTCTCGGAGGCTATTACCTGGGTCAGTGCCCTCACAGGGCTGGGCAAGGACGAGTGTGGCCAGGACCCCTGCCAGGGCTGGGAGCAGATACATCTCTGCAGTGAGACTTCACCAGCTAGGATGTGAGTGACACCCACCGCCTGCACAGGAGGGTCTTCTGCTCCCCTCTCACTTCGAGGACCCCCAGCTGATCGCTCACCTCCTCCTACTCTTCTCTGGACGTCGCTGGGAAGGGACTTTAATAGCCCATTCTAGGGTGGGGGAGGGCAGCTCTAGGCCCCAGAAGCCCAGCCTCTTGGGTGGAGTTCTACGACCTCCCTCTGGTTTTCAGGGGAGTTTTGAGACTGAAACACCCTGCCCCACCCCTTGCCAGTCTGGGGACATTCTTCCTTCCTACCCTTCACTCCATCCCTCCCTTCTACTACCAAGCCCACTGATGCACGTCTCCCTGGGCCCAGAGCAGCACCTGGGACACGGGTGTGGCTCAATGGATATATGTTGGCTGATTGAGGAGCAGTGTACCTCAGTTGCCCCCACCTGGCCGCATGGCCTCGGGCAAGCCACTTTCCCGCTGCAGGCCTCAGTTTTCACATCCCTAGAATGCGAATTGGGCCAGATGATTGGAAAGGTGCTTCTCCTTCCCAAACAGGGCAGAAAGTGAATCTGCCTTACAGTTATACACGCCCCCATACCCAGTGCAAAGCCCAGCATTTAGTAAGTGCTTAGCAGGTGTTTGCTGAGTGAATGAATGATCTGTGATGAACGATTTGGCCCCTCTCCTTATTCCCTAGCCCTACCCACTCCCTCCAAGGTGCCAGGGAGAGTGTGAGGCTGTGGCTGAGGCAGGGCCTGGCAGTGAAATCCCTCATGGGGCCGTTTTGGGGATGCAGCGAGATGTCACAGGCAGCACACCCCGCCAAGTGAGCTGCTGGGGAGCCTGAGGGAAGCGCCCACCGTGGGGTGTCTTCTCTTGGCATTTCTTCAATGCCAGTCAGTAGTAGATTGGCTCTGAGAAGTTGGTTTCCATTCTGAGTTCCTGTTGGGCTTGGTGAGAAGCAGCTTCTTTAGAGGTAATGTGCTGCCCCAGGCTCTGACTGGCCTGGTGGAATCCAGCCCTGCCACTAGCTTCTTGACCTTGGATGAGTCTTCATTTCCACCTTACGCGCAGAATGCGTCCCAGTCGGCCTTCTGCAAGGGCCCATCCTCTCTGCACCTAAGCCTTCCCAGCCCTGGATGAGCCAGGTTCGTCCTTTGCCTCTGACCTCATTCTGGCTGCCTGGAGAGCATGTGCTCATACCTGAGACAGTTCCAGAGTCACCACCACTGTGGCCAGCAGCCTGCATGTCCTCACCCCTTCTTCAGGGGGACACACCCATTCTTCCTCACTGTGGACTCCATGCCTGCTCCGGACTCCCAGGGAGGCTGTTCTGAGTGTCCCCTCTCCTCCCCACCCCCACGCCCTCCCGGAACCCTGCCCAGTGCCCTCCACAGCTTCCTCCTCCCACAGTGACACCACCAGCCTAGCAGTTGCTCTTGAAACAACCGCTTCGCTTCAGCAACCCCTTTCACAAGCTCCAGTTGATGGCCCGGGCCCTCCTGATCTTATCTTCTTTTCTGTAACAGAGGCTCCTCTCCTGTGACAGGGGGCCTGGTAGAAGTCACTGTAGGAGCTGAAAGTGCACTGGGTTCCTTGATGCTGACCCACTGCGCCACTGGGTAAAGCACACCCCTCCATGGAGCTGTTTCCAAACCTTTCAGATGGGGACAGTGGACCTTGTGGAGGAGAGAGATTGTGTAAATCACAGAGCGCTCCTCAGCTGTGTGTCACCTCTCTGACCTCAGGGAGCCAGGTGCTCCCCGGGTGGAGCCAGGTGGAAGGCATGTACCCCAGGTTGGAGCTGGATGGGGTTGTATGTACCACGGCTTGGAGCCAAGGTGGGGTGTATGTCACCCAGGTTGGAGCTAGGGTGGGGTGCACGTATCCCAGGTTGCTATGCTTCCAGGGTCCCCAGCACTCAGAGTGAGCTCTGCTCTCCCTGCAGAGGTGACTCTAGTTTGTCAGCAGTGGTGATCAGTGCCAGGGTTTCTCCACAGCCGGGGACTGCCGTGTGTTACTGGGACAAGCCTGAGACAGAATCGTGGTCTCTAAGCCCAGCCCTGCCACGCTGGCTCATTGACTGCTCAGCCTGCTCCCTGCTCTCCTGGTCTCTGGCCTCTGGACACCCCCTTGGCCTGCTTTGTGCCGTATTTCCCCCACAGGACCCTGCCGTAGCCTCCAATCATCCTAACCCTCCACATACAAAGCCCTCCTTTCCTCTCCTTCCAAGCAGCTCCTAATTCTTCTGGAGGCTTCCCCTTCCTCGCAGGCCCCTCTGGGAAGCTATTGCTGAGTCACCCCACAAGCTGGGCTAGGACTTAGCAGGCACAGCACTTAGCAGGCAGGAGCTCCTTGAGAGCAGTACAGAGAGTGGACTACAAACTGACCTCAGTCCCCATCCCCACACCATCATCACTGGGGTAGGGTCCTCAGCCTCTGAGCCCAGCTCTTCATAGTCAGATCGAGGTCATTCCTAGTCTGCCTTGCAGACACCGTGCCTGACACACAGCAGGCAGTCAACGATGTTGCTGAACAGACCCTGTTTGTCTGCCCTGTTGTTGCTTCCTTTATTGAGGTCACTTGAGGTGGTCTGTCAAGGGCAGCAATTGCCGTTGCCTTGAAGGGTGGGGGCAGTGAGTGCAAGGGCTTTGCAGACCCCTCAGGACTGGGTGCCTGGAAGGGATGCCTCCAAAGTCAGGGCTGTTCAGACCAACGGTCTCCAAGTGCTCCTCCTTGTGTCAGAGTGGACGTGCCAGCTGCTGGGCTGGGGCCACTGAAGACCGAGTGAAAGGATGTGATGGAGTGATGGAGCCTCCTGCAGCTCCCCTCCAGGGGCTTTCCAGCCTGGGCCCCACCCACCGTCCCCAGCTTCGGCCCCCACCAGGGGGCAGGTGACATGCAGGGTGCTCGCCCTGTCTCACAGTGGCCCACGTTGACGTCTGCTTTTTCCTCCCTCTGGTCAGGTCCAACCACCTGCAGGGGCAAGAAGAGGAGCGTGGGCAAGGGCTCGGCCCTCCGTGCCCCCTCCGCGGGCTTTTCATCATGCCCACTGCAATTTCGCTGGTGAGATCTTCCTTAATGTTAAGTGTTGTGCAGGAGCAACCCGGAGTATCTGACACTGGGTTTTTTTGTTTGTTTTTGTTTTTGTTTTTGTTTTTTTTTAGATGGAGTCTTGCTCTGTCGCACAGGCTGGAGTGCAGTGGTGCGATCTAGACCCAGTGCAACCTCCACCTCCCGGGTTCAAGCGATTCTCCTGTCTCAGCCTCCCGAGTAGTCGGGACTACAGGAACCCACCACCACGCCCAGTTAATTTTTTGCATTTTTAGTAGAGATGGATTTTCGACATGTTGGCCAGGCTGGTTTCGAACTCCTGAGCTCTGAAAGCGCTGGTATTATAGGAGTGAGACACCACGCCCGGCCTAGGAACGGTTTATTTTCTGATACCCACTCCTCTTGCAACAAAATAATTTTTAGTAATACTCATTAAATGAAGCAAGTCATAATAATGGCCAGAAAAGAAATATATTAAAAGTTACCTTTTATTGAACTTTATGTATAATCATGCCAGTAGAGAAATAACAATAAAAAAGTAATATACAAAAGAAAAGTAGAATGGATGAATACTTTTAAATTATGTGAATGCATTTTAAATAAAGGCGGAAAACTACATACATATTTGTAGTTCTAATATTTAATATGTCATTACATTTTCTATCTTCGCGATTCATTCATTAGTGTTAAAATGAACGTTGCAAATTTAGAAGAACAAACTAGATCTTAAATTATTCAAATTCAGTAAAATAGTTCATGTATGAAGCAAAATTTGCACTTAAAAATCGAGTTTTGTGTTTTCATCTTTACAATCACTGCGCCGTCATTGTTTGTATCAAACAAACTGTTTAAATGCAAGAATCTGCTGTGCTGCCAGGGGCAGGAGGCGCGTGTTGCACCAAAGCCCACTCAGGGGACTCCGAGCCAACAGCCTTCGCTCTCAGAGGGAACACGCTCAGCAGAGCGAGCCGCTGTACGACTGGGAATTCTCCCAGCCGACTTGCACGTGGAGGAGCGTGCTTCTTAAAGGATAATCAATACAAGGGCATTAACTTGAAGCTTCCACTTATTATGAAAGCCCAATGGTAATCAGAGCAATCGTTTAGAATCTAGACCGACACAGGACTTCTGTGGGGAGTAGGATTTGAGCTCTGAAATTAGGTAAATTGCCCCTGCGTGGTGATCGGCATAAGCAGCCTGAGCTTTTGTCTGCGTTGTTGTTACTTCTTATAAACTCCCTACAGATGACGCATGGAGGCAGACGGCTTCTTCTGCCCTGTCCTTGGTACTGGCATTTGTCCCTTCGATTACCTTTGCTAAGTGACGAGCTGGGAGGCTTTCATGTCCTTCCATACCCTCCCTCCACCCCGCCTTCAACACACTTCGGGTCCCTAGGGAGAGGGAAGAGGCGAGCACTGGGCTCTGAGCACCTGGAGGTGGAAAGGAACAGCTCATGGGCTGTACTGGGATGAGCCCAGCCCGTCCGGGGTCCTAGTGGGCAGGGTCACAGTCTTTGGGGTCTATGCATGATATCCCTTCAGCAGCAGCCCAGGGAACTCCAAATCCTTCCACGGCTTCCCAGGCCCTGCAGGACCTGTTCAGCCTCCGCCCTCACCCCTTCCACCACCCTTCCTCCGCACACCAGCTTCATCCCCCGAAGGCTTCGGATGCACCGTGTTCCCAGCACCTCTCGGGCTTTGCGCGTGTTCCCTTTGCCTGATTAATTTCTACTCATCTTCCCAACTGAGCCACATCATTACCTCTTCCAGGCAGCCTTCCCTCGCCCCTTTCCTGTTCACTTTCCAGATATGTTCTGAATTAGCTGCCCCTCTTTATGTCTGAAGGTGCCTCTTCCAGGCAGCCTTCCCTCATCCCTTCCCTGTTCACTCCCCAAATATGATCTGAATTAGATGGCCCCCTTATGTCTGCGGGGCACGCACTGTGCTGTACTGAAGGCATGCTGTCACCACGTCCATCTCCTGGACCGGCCACTTAGCCCCAGCCCTGGTCTTGTTCACAGCTGCATACATAGTATCCAGAACAGGGTTGGCCCGGGGCCAGTGCTC